ATCAAGCACCTCAATTAATATTTCGATTTGAAGACAAGGAAACTCTTCCCTCTGAGAAACAGATAATATAAGATACATTTGTTTAAATTGATATGTATGTCTTGGAATCACATAATGACTTTACGAATCCATCAGTTTATCGGATGCAGAGTGAATGTCACAAATTGGACTTATTTGTTTAGTTATTATTCATATGTCGTACAATGAACTTTTCTTTTCGAATATTATTTTAATTGTGCTCTCTAATTTAGCTTTGGTTCATCTTAAATTCTTGTACTCACGTTTCATCTTCATGCTTAGGAAAGTCGAGGGAGGAACAAAAGATAATATTATTGAGAGTCACCATTATTCTTGGATGTTGACAGCTACAGAGTTTCAGATTCTTTTGCAGCGAGGGATTCTACTATTTATGGTGAATAAACCTCATGGGATCTATTTCCTGAAGTTCCAAAGCTATTATGTATCTTTATTAATTGGTGTCTTTTTTAGTTCAAGTGGAACAACATTACTAGATATGTAAAACTTGAGTGGTTTACAGAGCCCATATCTGAGACTAAGCGAAGATACATTATCTCATACCCATTTGGCACCAGCAAAACTTGACTTACCATAGTGTTTCTTGCCTCATTTCTGAATTTGTTACAACACTGTCGACTTCTAATCACAGATCCTTCCAATTTTCTTCTTAACTAGGAACTCGAGTTGGTGGATGTGATATTGTGCATCCTCCCTCACTTGTAGAATGGTCATCTCTCAGTGTCTCAAGAGTTACATTTCCAGTAATGATATCCACATGATGAGCTCAACATCCTCAAGGTTGATGAGCATAAAAAATCTCTTTGACATTTGGGGAAATTAAATCCAACACATATTCTTCTCCATAAATAAAAGAATCCTTGTCTGCAGAAGAATCTGAATCTCTGAAGCACGCCATATCGAAGAGTTATGGCGATTAATTTTTGCAAAGAGTAATAACCTTTTCGAAAAGTTATGACTTCTATTAAAAGTCATGACTTTTATGAACAACTGTGACTTTTATTAAAAGTATTGACCTTTTCGAAGGGTTACAACTTTATCAAAAAAATTGTATCCTTTCTGGTAAGACACAATAATCATTTCTTTACTCTAACCTTTGTTGTCTATAAATAGTAGACTTTCCTCTCCTACATGTTAAATTTTACTTAGGCTGTAATTTTATTCAGTAAACCATTAAATTTTTATATTTGAACTCTATGTATTTTAACTTTACTTTTGTCATGATCATTTGTAGGCTGCAAATTTGGTTCGATAATAACTTATGATTTGAGAATTGTGAAACTAAATCATAATTGCAGATTCTATGAATGCAAAACAAGATAAAGAATAAGGATATGCAAAGAGATGAAACTGATTTTATGTGAGGCAAGTCCTAAAGGGATCAAGATTGTTGGCATTTCGAAATCACATGAGTAATCATATAGGTGTGCGCTATGAATTTTCTTACAATTCCACTGCAACTAATTTGATTTATATGGATAAGTGTGGGATTTTATCTTGTTTTGTTCACTCTGTTTATTGATTTGAACTAATGGTGTATCAAAAATAACCTTCCTATCCTTTAAGATAGAAGTAGGCTCTGTGTCCACACTATTCTTCTCATACCTCACCTGTGAGATTACAATGGAATAATCAGTTGTATGTGGAAAATTTTTAATTCAAGTAATTTAAAACCCCTTTATTAGAAAAGAAATAACGTGAATAAAATTAGTGTGGACTAGTATATGATGTTTCAATCTTTGTACTTCCAGATTTTTTTGGTGCAGCCAACGAAGACATAGCGTGTGATCTGTAACACAAATAAGGTGTATAAAATTACTTTATGTTAATCTAATTTTTTTGTTTTCCATTCATTGCTATAAATTAAGTCGATATAACATAATTGGTATAGTCATAATATAAAGAAGGGGATTGTGTGCGTAGAAGATTGTTCGATATCAACTATAAAGTCGACAATTACACTGTGTAAATTAAACATTTTTCAGACCAATCATATGATAGAGAGTCAGATAAATTTCTTGCTTATTGTATTTAACAAAATTGCAATGTTGTGGAATGTATACAAGATCCTACCTTTATAATTTCTTAGCAACATTGGAAAGAAAGTATTTGACCCAAGCATTACCCTTGAATCATATTTGTTTAATCATCTTAAATTTGACCTTACATATTTTAGGTCCTTCAGACGTTAAAATAACCTTAGGTATAGGTGACAGGGTATTTGGTAGAGTGTTTAAGAGTAGTAGTGGGTAGAGTGTATAGCTAATATTAACTTTTGTTATCCTAAGATTTTTCTTATCTATTGATATCTTAATTTCCAAGTCACTCCTCAATCCTCCTTTTCATAAATGATTGAAAGTAGCAAGGAAAGACATGAAAAAACTTCACTGGCTCAACATGCAACTAAGAAATGCGAAAGACTAGTAAAGGAAATACGAGTAGTTGTCTCATGTCAAAGGAATAAAGGAAGAAATTGTTTTAAGATTGCAGTTACACATTCAGAATTTCATCATGAGACTATGTATGACATTATCATTTTTACGAAAGATCGGTGGTTTGGTATATTAAGGGTGATTTTATTTTTAATCATGCCTATCCATAAATTAACAACCATTGTATTGTAGATACCATAGTTTTTCTATATATTTTACAATACTTGATAGGAAATATAATTTTTACGTATTAGTTATGTACCCTATAATATTGCATATGTTGTATGTAACTAATACATGTACTATATTTTCTTATTAGATCTTAGCGAATGGCTCTCAAGTGTCTTCTAATTTGTGGTCTACATTATTCAAGCAATGATTTTTAACGAGTTGGTAACACTTAGTTCATTTAGTTTTTTCGTAAATAAAGATATTTTGAGTAAATCTAATTCTCATTACATGATGATGTCAAACTCATGGTTGCCATGAGCTTGGAAACTATACATCTGGTATCAATTGATCTAGATTTATTCCTGATAGGCAGACAATATTTGGCCTCTAATACTATGTGAAAACAAGACATATATAAATTCAGAAAGGTCTTAAAATTTTACAATAATTATATTGATGAACTTATTAGTCACGATGAAAATGAAATTTATTTTATAAGCATTACATCATTGAAAAGATACATTACATTTTTCTTATTGCATATGCATATTGGGGAGAAAAGAAAATACAAATTTTCCAAATTCTCCTATGAGAGTACACTAAAAAATCTTTCATATCTTTTAGTATTGGAGGTATTCAACCCTATGTTATGTTATTTGTTTGTGATCCACCATAAATATTTGAAGTTAAATATGAGGGTTGGTTGAATCGAAATATTGTTTATGTCTATAGTGTATTTATAACATTTTCACTAATACATTAGATATGATAACTTATAATTTCCTATTAACCATAGGAAAAAGTTCACAACATATATCTTAGGAGAATTATATGTTCAGAGAATGTCATTTGAATACCCATCTACAATGACAATGTACAGGAGAAATTACATACTTTGTGTGACAAAAAGATATCAAGTAAAAAATAATTAATATTAGAAAGAAAATATATAGCTTAAAAAAGTCATGGTGTGAATTATATCAAACGAAATATACTAAATCTCGATTACGTTTTTGAAGCACCAGAAACTTCTCATAATACATATTTTCAAGTTTAATGTTTAACAGAATTAACATACATTTTCATTAATTTTGGGCTATAATTAAGTATATCCACATAACAAACATTTTCATTAGTTTTTGGCTATAAATATGTCCGTATAATACATATTTTCAAAGTTAATGTTTAACAGAATTAACATACATTTTCATTAATTCTTTGCTTTTATGTTATCTTTCTTTTGAATGTCAACATTACAAAACTAAATTTATGTTTTTCCATATTATCTTTGGGTATTAACAAAAGTTTAAAACCTAAGTTTAGCCCATGCGAACTACGGGTAGATTACCTAGTATTTTTATACATGCCTTCTTCGAGATCTAGTAGTATGTAAATGATGCATAATTTCCCGATTTGAAGAGTGAACAAAATGTAAACTGAAGAGTATGTCCGTTTAATTTGCATGGCTAAGCTATACACAAAATTTCATATAAGTAACAAGACTCGTATACTTACAAAATTACGGGAAATGTGCTTGCTTACAAAATCATATGTGAACAAACTGAGTAGATCATTCTTATTTTACTACTATGTTTCATTGTTTAATGATTTATGTGTTATGTTAAAGTTTTATCTATATATCATTATTTGATGACGATCTATCTAGAAGTAGTCCATATATGATATACTTCAAATTAAAAAACAAACATTTTTTCATTAGTAAAAGATTACAAAAAATGAGTCATATATCACATGTGAACAAACAAAATAGACAAGTCCATTTTTATTATCTAGATGAAGCTGGTGGTTCCCATTTGATAATTATTGACACCCAATTTTGGTCCTCCCAATAAAAATTAGTTAATGAGTTTCGTAATTCTATGAGATTTGAAATGATTGGTTATATTAAAAGGGTATAGAATATTCTTGGAGTTATTGTTAATTGATTTTATACTTCTTATAAATTTTAAGTAGTATATATGTTTTATATAATTTTATATAAAATTAGATTATTTTATAAATATTCAAAAATTGTCTCAAAAAGATTTCAATTGTACTTAATACTTTATTAAATTAATTTGGTCTAAATTGTTAGTTTACACTTTTGAGTCATTAGTTATGACTAATTCAATTATTTTATCTCGTTAAAATTCAGAAGCTCATTATTAATTTTTAGTTAATTCATCTTATTTAAACTTTAGCTTAATTCGTGAATTAAATTCTATTTGTTTTTAGCTATTTTACTTTAAACCCATTTAAAGGGACCATGAATGGGGGACCTTTCTCTAAATCTTCAGCAGCCCATTTCCCACGAGACAAACCCATTAGCCCATTTCCTTTCTTTTTAAAATCCCAGCACAACATCTATTACAGCAAAAACCCAGTCCAATAACAATGATACCATCAGCAGTGCCATAGCCCAGATGCCTTAAAACATAATACTTGCCAACGTGACCCACTTCTCCTAATCCCTTTAATGCAACCCACGTTCCTTTCCTTTTTACGGTGAAGTGACAAGCCAACCCCTAAATGCCTTGAAGCTCCTCATGCGAGGACCAACAACTTCAACGTTCACAAGGAATCTCACGGCATCAAATACACGGAAAGCAACCAGATTTTCCGCATCTTCCGCCTCTGCAAGTGCAGGCGAACAGCGATGCTGCTCCAGTCCTGTGCCTCTGCAACTCCTCCTTGCTCGCATGGATGGACTCCACGTCCCCTGCGAGTAGATTGATCAAGGCTGCCTGGGTCGCTGTCTTCTTTTGGGTTTTTGCATTAAATTAGGGATTGCTCGTTGGGGAAGTTTTTGATTTGAAAGTTGTTGGAGAATTCCATTTGTTCCCTTTGTTCCTATCCGGCTGTTCTCCTCTTTTCCCAAGGTTTGGGAACCCTAATCTCTCTGCTATATATATTCTCATTCTGTTCACTGTGAAATGGGGATTATTATTTTCAAGAGAGATTTTTTTGGGAAAAAACAATAGAAAAATTAGTGAAAAAATAGTGAGCTGCCATCCATACAGGTATATATACAAACATTCCGATTTTTTATCGAGTCTTCACTCGATTTTCTGCTCACGCGAGTTCATTGGGGTGTTGTTTTTTAAGTAGTGGAAGCTCGTCAACTCTTGGTTGCTCGTCTCGTTCAATTCACTGCCCAGGAGAAGGTGACGGCTTCGTGTTTTATCTCAGTTGGTTTTCTTTCTCTCTTCTCGATCTTTATGGCTATTGGATGTCTATATATTAGTTCAAGGTTGGCTTACTAGGGTGAATTTTTGGAATTATCTTTACATTTTGTCGTATTTTGGACGCGTGTTTGAGATTGCCATTTAGTTGTATCATTTTGTTCTTCATTTTTCTCTTTCCACCTCTCATTTTATTTTTAAGTGGATTTACTGTTTGAGAAGCTTCTCTCATGTTTGTGTTGAGTTGGCTGTCACTCGCAGTTTAGTTTATAGCATTTTTACATGATGTATAAGTCCGTAGCGGTTTCATTTCCTGCAACCTTTCTTTTACCGATTAGTACTATTTCTTTTATTAGATGAAGCATAGTCTTAAAAATTTGATGATATGAAAATTTGTTTGTCGCGTTATTCACTATTTGTAAGATGTAAGAGTTTATTTTTTTCGGTCTGTTAGTTCTCTGTTAATAGCCTGCTTTCATCCCAACTTTCTTATATTTGGCGTCGTTTCAAAGGGTGATCTAAGTGTTATGTTTTAGCTGTTGGATTCAGTGATTTTCATTTAAAGTTCATTCACATGTCGTTCAATCGAGTCTATTTTCCACTTTCCTTATCTAAATCTGATCGGGTTTCTTTGTTTTTTTTGAAGTTTGTTTTTCTCTCGTTTCCTCACTGGTATCATTTTGGTTATTATTTCTTGTCTTCTTTATATTTAATGTCAAAGCTGATTGTAGTCTTAGCAGTCGTGCGAAGAACATCTAATCTATTTTTTTCCGAAATGAAGCATGATTGTCCTGTCATTAATTCATTTACTGGTATGGTTCAATGTTTTCACTTGTCTTTAGATTCTCCTTGAAAACTTGTTAACAGTGCAACCTATGTTCTACTGGTATAGCATTTTGTCCAAAAAATGGACTTGTCTCGCAGCTTGAGTCGTTTTTTTTCTCCTTTACATTGCTTAACTTTGGCTCTTCGTTTTCACTTGGCCATAATGATCAAAGTTTCTTCATGTCTTACGTTTTCAAATAGTTGTGTTGGTAGGGTCTCTTAACTCATTTTATATCTTTGCATGTAAATTCTCAAACTATAGACAGTAAATTATGGTCGGTGAATGGGAGCTTTGTTTGGTGTATTATTTTAAAATCGTTTGTTTCTTCAAAAAGTGATGAAATTTGGCAGCCTAGGCATGAGGTTTCTATTATTAAATTGCATCACTAACTCCAATATTTGTAACATGAGTTTCAATTATAGTCACTGCCTATTGCTTTGTTCCTCAACTACTACCCATTTGTCTTGCATGTTTAATATTTGTTACTTTTTTTATACCTCCTTTGCAGTCAAGTAATCTTGTTATCACTTAGATATACAAATGGAGACATCACTATTTGAATTTTAATCTTTATTATAATTTTGTTGCATGTAAAACTGCCAGAGTTTGCCAAGAACTCACGTTCGCCCTCACATTTCGAGAGACTCACAAAGACTCATATTTCGTTATATCTAGTCAACCCATCAAAATTGACGCACATGTTCCGAAGTTGAATGGGTAGCCAAAGAAAAAAGCGGGAAAATAAGAAATCGAAAAGTCCCAAATTTATTTCCAATTTTTTTTGTATTTTGTTATTTTGGGACTAAGCCCATGTCATTATACTATTATTATTTGTGCTAGAGGTGTATGACAGGTACCTTTGGAATGGACTTAATTCCCAAAAGAAATGGGTCCAAACACCGGTTAAGGAGAACAGAAATCGGATTTGAACCCAACTCTCTCTTTCCCTCTTTTTTACTTTACTTCGCCTTTACTTGTTATTACTTGTCGCCAGTTTTAGGGTTAGAAAAGTTCAGATCCCCCGCAAGACGCTATTTCATTTTAACGACTTAATTAAATCAACCAAGTATAAATAAACTTAAATATAAATTTTGCAAATCAAATCTCATTTAGCTAGTAAATTAATACTTCACTTTCGAACAAACTCGAAAAAATTGTATATCTCAAAGTTAAGTTAATTATTTTAGCCAAACAAGTTAGTTACCGGATATTAGAAAATATTCTAGGTGCGTAAAAACCTTCCTAAAGTATTAATAAGAACCCTAGAACCCCTTTAGAGGTTTTCAATAGAGTTCCTATTCTAACCTCTTGAAAAATAAAATTTTCTTGATTTTTCTTAAAAATTAAGTGACGACTCTAAAATCTAGTCATATACCAATCATAATATTTTTTTTGGAACTTAAACTAATGACAACTCTGCTGGGGATTTGAAGGATTCTAACCTTAAAATTAACCTGTTTGACTACGTGTAGATAACTGTTAACTTGCTTTCTATATCGTATTATTTAACTGTTGCATTTTTCATGCATCGACTCCGTCAAGCGACAAATAGTTTGCATTATGACAAAGGTGGTTATGTGTCTTAACACGACTTCCTTCAGAAAACATAAGTCTAATCTTTGGAAGTAATAAATAAATAGTTTAATTTCGGTCATCCAACGTTGTTTATTCGCTTCACACCGTTGTCTGTCTAACTCAGGTAATCGTCACTTCTAAACAAATTCTAGTCAACCTAGGATAGAGCGAAACTAAAACTGTATCAACCATTAGCCTAAGATGGATTAAAACACAAGGCATATTAAATCAATTAATGAAATTGCCAAAATCATGTCCAAGGTCTCCGACGTAACCACATACCATATTAGCTGACATTTGAAGGATGTGGGATTAGAAACCTAATTTGGGTTGGGGAAACTTAACTGGTTTTTGTTTTGTGGGTATGATCATTTCCCAAAGTTGGACATGGTTGTAAAGGACCTACTTTCACTCAAGATGTGGTATAACGACCTTGACGGATATCATAGAAGAACCCTCAACAAATATGTGGTGCCCTGACTGAACTAGTCAATATGGCGGGTTGGCCTGAACTCATCGCAGTCCTCACATGCTATTGGGATAATGAAAAAATGGTGTTCCAATTTGGAACTATAGAAATTACCCGGATAATGGAGGAGCTTCGGGACTGCATTGACACAGTTGGTCCAGGGTTAGAAAGAATAATGAGAAAATTAAAAAGACATATTGATCCCTAACAAGCCTTTAGTCGAAGTATTAAAAATTGTCTCAGATTAGGTAAGAATTACACTTACTGGGCCGACAATTCTCATATATCGTTTATGGAGCTCGACATTAGATTTTGGGAACGCAAGATTTTACACAAAGTATAACAAAGAGTTCAGAGTTGCCTAAAGAGAGTGGAATGAAATCCGACCTTTGGTGTTCACTGTCGCGCTATTAGGAACTATTCTTTTACCACAAAGCCTGAGCCTATGTATCAATACTCGAGTGATAATTCTTGCACACACTTTATTCAACAGGATCAAAAATCAAGGGCAAGTGAAGTATTATCACATTGCTCCCGTTATCTTGTCGGACATGTATCGAGCTGTGAGAAAATGCAAAGAGGGTCATCCCTACTTTCAGGGTTGTAACCTGCTCCTTTAATGGTTGATCTTAAGTCAATTGGTGAAAGGGCATGGGACTCAAGAATAACATACCCTTGATTGTAGGAACACTCTTAGGGATTTGAAAAATATGCTATTTTGGGAAAATTTGGAAAACCGAAAGACTAGAGAAAGATGGGCCCAGATCTATTCGAGTTCAGGAAAGAGTGTCAAACTTGGAATCTAAACCCCCAGATGAGACCGGCATCGTGAACCTCTCAGAGGTCACAGACAAACCTTTTCTTAGACATCATCACAATCATACAATTAAATTTGTGAAAAATTTAAAACATTTTAAAACTTAATGAAGTATACTTACACTTCTTGGAATTACTGCATAAAAGTGATATGCTATGACTCAAACTAAACAACCATTTATAATAGATTAAACGATTCAAATAAAGAATTCATAATATTATAATAGTTTGCCAAATGTCTTTATTACAGAGCTTTGAACAACAACTTGAAATGAAATGGTAGGGACAACATCCACTAGCTATGTCTAATATACTAAATTTAGAAAGCAAATGTAGCATTCTCGAACTCAAAAGAACTACCAAAGGTCTGGAGATACTAGTCAAAACCGCTTCAATGAATCTTCAATTCTCTTCAAGAACCTGCACCTATAAAAATAGCAATAGTATAGGGGTTAGTACACACTTGTACTAAGTATGAGTGTATGCAAATAAACACATAAGGACTATACATGATCAAGGAAAACTCTTCATATAGAAACATGTTGTGTCTGGAAAGTGAAGTCAGTTGACTTTCCTAATTCGTTATTTATGAATCATGTTATGAATATGACATATTTTAATGCATTCAAAGCACACAACTCATTTTCTGTATGAACATAAGACCTTGGATTCATAAACATAATTTTAGATTATCTCAAACGAAAATTTATAATTTTGCTCTCTCTAAGGCTGAGAGCTCTCTTTCCAGACTTAGTTTATTTTTTCAGTCTTTTGTTCTTTCTGTTTTGTAGTTCAATGATCTTCTTTAATCCTATGTCTTACTTACAAGTGCAATGATTCATTATATTCCCATACCTACAATGAGTCAAGTAAGTAATCCAAGAGACTAAGAAAATGATTTGACTACAATTGGACATGAAGTCCTTATAAGCCAATTTTTATTGGTTATGATCATTTTGCACTATATAAATAGTCATTATAAGCCAATCTTTATTGACTATGCACATAAATTGTTAAAAACATCATTCTTATCAAACACTGATGATTAATATTCTTAAGATCTTGCTTTCTTAGTTCACTTTGGAGTTACATTTCTTCGTATTTCTTTCTTATTTCTTAAAGAAATATTTGGCATTAAGATTATGTGAGCTAACATGAAATCCAGTGTCTTCCCCATACCGAAAAAGGCGGTTCACAGGTCAAAGTGAACCTAGATCATGTGAGGTAACATTAAATCTAGTGTCTGCCCCACACTGAAAATGGGTTGTTCACCGGCTAAAGTGAAAGAGAGTCAGTGTCTTCCCCACAATGAAAAGAGGGGGTTCATGGCTATAGTGAAATAGAATACTTTCTTGAGCATTTAACCGGCATAGATCATGTGAGATAAACATGATCCAGTGTTTGCCCCAAACTGAAAAATGGGTGGTTCACCGGCCAAAGTGAAACCGAATACTACCTAGATCTCTTAGGTGGAATCCACTTGCTAGTTCCTATGCTAGCAATATAGTTCGAAGACTAGGAGATTCTGGATACTCTTATCCACCTTGTTGGTAGCATTATCTAATGAGGCTTACATGTGCTTGCACAAGCTTATTGCTAGTCTATCGGAGCTTTGCTTAATTTCTTATACTTTATAACTTATAGAGTTGACTCATACATTATGGAAGCTTTCTTATAATACGAGGTATGCTTAACTTAATGGATGACTTGCCATCCCTTTCTTTACTTGATGAATGTGAACTTAAACTTTACATTATTATCATGGTGTTACTGATACTTATCTCAAGATTTCTAACACCCTCTTATGTGAGTATCTTTAACATTAACGTTTAGGTGCAAGTGAGACTTATATCACATCCTTTAACACCTCATTCTGGTCAATTTCATAACTCATAAGCTTTTAGTAATGTCATTACCCTTCTTACCTTGCTCAATGTCATTTGGTAGCCTTAAACCAATTTTTATGGAAGTTATAAACTTACTCAATATACTACTATATTCATAGTTCATTTGGATGGGGTATGTTGGGACTTGTCCCAATGATTTGCATACCATTCGTTATGAACTCATTGAGTTACATTGGTCATGCTTAATTTGGTATAACTTAGTCATTAGCCAATTTTATATCATATTTTGGAAATAAAATTGTAAGCCAATTTATTGGCATAAACCAAGCTTTCAATAAACACTGGTCATGAGAATATCATTAGCCAATTCAATTAACTTCATGTATATACTATAGTAGTGTCATCACTTTACGCAAGAAATTTTTTAATAGTAAACTAAACTTCATAGAGGACTCATAAATTTTTTTATCTTCTCGAACATAATTAGACATTACAACACTTCTTATCTCATGTAAATAAGACTATAATCATACGGATCTAGCCTATAGGTCTCATTCGACATTATAAAAACCAAGAAACCTACACATAATGATCAATTCGCACCACATAGAAACAAAATTCTCTAGATTTACATTATACATACTATTAAAATCAGAATAGGGAGAACTAGGGAGATGAACATTCGTTTTATTGGGAACAACCCTAGTTTTGTTTTCTTGAATTCAAAACGTTTAAAAAGCCTATCGGAGAAAGGAATCCAAGAGATAAAACCCATACATTACTGTAGAACTGAATCTTCGAAAATCACTTTAAACTTTGCACATATTAAATAAAGAATAGCGTTGGAATCGCTCAAGAGAACTCGAGATATTTTCTATTTTTCTTACGTTCTTCTCATTGTTTTAAGTCGTGCGTTTCTAATAGAATAACGTGAGTCTTAGGAACTTATTTTCTTATTCAAGTTAGACTAATAAAAATTAGATAAATTAATTAGCTAACTACAAAAACGCCCATCCTAATTGACTAAAAAAAGGAGAACATTTAACTTAGCCAAATTCTGAAAATTTGCTTGAGGATTTCGGTTTGACCATATAAATTAATCAATTAAGTTTCTAATTTAATTAATTAAGTGACTTAGGGTAATTATTAAAGTTCCCCTAAGTCGTTATGACCATAACCAACCCTTTTGGACCATCCTAGGTTAGGTACTAGGATGTTTCTTGAGTTAGTTACTAGGCTAGTGTTTCCCGGTTTGGTCTTAGGATTTTTGGAACACTAATTAGTTAATTTCGGTTAGTCCTAGGTTAGTTAGATAGTTAGGTAAGTTAGTTAGAGTCTAGAATTGGTTAGGAAGATCATCCCCACATGGCTTGACCCCACATTTGTGTGCCCCTAACCGCCCTAACTGAATTCGGTTGGGCTTGTCTCATGGCCGGTTAGCATATGTGCTTGAATATGTGTTTCTGCTCATTTTTTTTGTCCAAGGATCCTCACTATATCCTTGGGCACTGCTTACTCAACATAATCATTTTAAATGATCATGTTCTATGGTACCTAGGCTTGACACTTGGATGCATCGTACCTAATGTGCATAACTAAGTAATTAATATTTTAGCTTAGGGTCTTTATTGCGAGTACAATTCCTAAACAAGCTTGGATTAGGGCGTTTTAACATCAATGTATATCTCAATACATAGAAATTGACTAATACCCTTAATCCAATATTCTCTAATACAATATTGGGCATTGGGATGTCTATGTACCTCACTACCTATTCTTAAAACTTAATAGACACTTCACTAGACGAGTACATTTTATGGAATGCAACATTATCCCCCCCTTATGAACATTCATCCGTGAATAACACTACACATCATTTTGAATCAAAGAAGGTATTCTCTAATACACTTTAACATACTTGAAACTTTACTCTTAGTTAATATCTAATTAACAACTTACTCTGGATGATGCACATCACTCAAAGCTTATCTGAAGCTTCATATCTGAGATTGAGGAACTTCCTTCTCAATCTTACTTTAGCTCAATGCACATTACAACTCATGCAACATAAAATCATGTGAATGTTTTACAAAAATAGCAACATGGCTGCAAGCATGAACTCATATTAACTTATATAGAGCAAGTATAAAACACACATATATGGACTTAAAACACCAAAATCGACTAATGCACTAAACTTTAGAGTTTCACAAACAAAATCAGACTTAGGAAGAGTATATCTAATCTCAAGAACCGAACAACTGAAGGTAATGGGATCTCATGTCAGTCTCGGCCTCCCATGTTGCTCCCTCAAAAAGGTTGTCCCTCCATTAAACTTTTACTACTGCAACCTCTTTGTTCCTCATCCACTTCACTTGGCGATCAAAAATTTCTTCTGGAACTTCATCACAAGAAAGATTCATCAACTCCTAACCTCTCAATGTGCAGGATGGATGCTATATCACCTTGATACTTTTTAAACATCGAAACATTAAACATTGGATGAACAAAAGCCAAGTCATTAGGTAACTTCAGTTCGTAGGAAACATTCCCTACTCGCTGTAAGATCTCATAAGGACCTATATACCTCAGACTCAACTTACCTTTGTTATCAAACCTCATTAAACCCTTCATGAGTGATATCTTCAAGTAAACTTGATCACCTACCTTGAATTCAAGAGCCCTCTTCCTATTATTAGCATAGGATTTTTGAAGACTGTAAGCAGTAGTCACTCTATCCCTGAAATTCTCACCTTTTCCACAGCCTCATGTATGATATTAGGGACAAGGATGTAAAAATCTCCTACTTCAAACCACCCAACTGGGGACCTAGATCTCCAACCATACAATGTTTTAAAAGGTGTCATCCTTATACTGGAGTGGTAGCTATTATTATAAGGGAACTCAATTAGTGGCAATCTCTATATACTCTTTAGGATCTAATATTGTCTCCTATGGGAGTAGTAACTAGAAAAGACTCATGCAACATCTCAGGAAGAAAGTCAAATTTACTAGCTACTAAAGGATTAACACAAGACAAGGTAGATCCTAGATCTAACAATACATACACAGTAAAAGTAAAGACAAGCAAGTTACCACTAACCATATCATTTGACTTCTCTTTCTCCTGTCTTCTTTTCAAAGGATAGAACCTGTTCCTTTTAGGAGGCTCAGCTGCAGTAGTAGTATTAGGCCGAGGCTTAGTATCTTCTTGTGCCTGACTCTTCACATTTGGGAAGTCCCTAATCATATGGCCACTCTTGCCTCACCCATAACAAGCATTAGAACCTACTATGCACTCACCTCAATGCGAACGACCACACTTACCACACGACCTTCTGTCACGTTGGGAATTTCTATCATTGCCCTTCTTATATTTGGGCCCATCTTGGATTCCAAATGAACTCCTACCTGTTCTTGAACCAACCTTATATGATGGCCTAGGCTTCTTGCCTTCTCGGCCTCTCTTCCTTCGACGACTCTCCTCTTGTGTTGTTCATGTACCATAAACCTAGCATGGTCCATGTTATCATGCAACATGTCTGCCCGACATTCCTCCTCCAGATCCTCCAATACACAGTCACAAACCTGCTCTTCTGATCCCTGCTACTAGACACTAGGGAAGAAGCATATTTGGAAAGATTAACAAACTTCAAGGAGTATTCCTTGATTAACATACCTAGCTATTTTAGGTTGATAAAGTCCTCAAATTTATCCTCTCTCTACTCTATGGGAAAGAACCTCTCCAGGAATGCAGTCTTGAGAATCTCCCAAGTGATAAGGAATTTTCTTGGTGATCGGCCATCTCCTCACATCTTTTACTACACTTGAGCCACATCCTTGAGTTGGTATGCAGCCAACTCGGCCTTCTCCTATTCATTAACACCCATAGCATAGAGAATCTTGTGAACCTCGTCCAAAAATTCTTGGGATCCTCATTGATGCTAGATACGAAGTAGACTAGAGGATTCTTTCTAGGAAAATCTCTTTGTCACCTAGCCATGGTGCTAGAATCTGGGTTCTCTCTGCGAGCACCCTCTCTAGTGGCCTGGGCTATAATAGCCTGTGCCTGAATAGTGATGGCTTGGGCCATCTGAACCAGTGGTATTCTCATTTATCGATTCGTAAACGCAACTGGGTTGACAGGTACTTGCTCTCCAGCAGCTGGGGCATGAGGAGGAGCTTGGTTTCCTCCACCAACTGCTTCTTCAACTCTTCTGCCTACATTTCATCTTGTATTCATTTTCTACACGCACACAATGGAAGGAAGTTAGATGTTATAATGACACAAATTGTTAAAGCTTTACACATCATGATAAAGAGTAGAAGAAGGGAAGATTCGTAACATCACTAAGTCTCCAAGTCATGGTTGTGGTGTACTTCACAACCATAAGCTAGAAACTACACAACATTGTTGTTTTGAGCCTTAGTTCCTTAGGTAATTTAACCTCATGCTCTAATACCAAGTTTGTCACACCCAGAATCTAAACTCCAGATGGGACCGACATCATTAACCTCTCATAGGTCGTAGACAAGTATCTTCTTAGATTTCATCACAATCATACAGTTGAATTTGTGGAAAATTTAAAACTTTTAAATAGTTAACAAAGTATACTTTGACTTCATATAATTACTGCATAAAAGTGATATGCTACGGCTCAAACTAAACAATCATCTATAATAGGTTAGACATTTGAAATAAAGAATTCATAATATAATAATAGTTTGCCAAACGGCCTTATTACAAAGCTTTGACCAACAATTTGAAAGGAAATTGTAGGGACAACATCCACCATCTATGTCTAATGTACTAAAGCTAGAAAACAAACGTAGCATTCTCGAACTCAAGAGGACCTACCAAAGGTCTGGAGATACTAGTCACAACCACTTCAACAAATCTTCAAAATCCCCTTTAACAGCCTGCACCTATAAAAATTGTAATAGTATAGGGGTTAGTACACATTTGTACTAGGTAAGGGTGTATGCACATAAACACGTAAGGACTATGCATGATCAAGGAAATCTCTTCGTATAGTAACATGTCGTTTCTAGAAAGTGAAGTCACTTACTTTCCTAATTCGTTATTTATGAATCATGTCATAAATTTGACATATTTTAATGCATTCAAAGCACGCAACTCATTTTCTGTATGAATGTAAGACCTTGGAATCATAAACATAATTTTAGAAAAGCTCAAACGAAAATTTATAATTTGCTCCCTTTAGGCCGAGAACTCTCTTTCCAGACTTAGTTTATTTTCCAGTCTTTTCTTCTTTTTGTTTTGTAGTTAAATGATATCCTTTAATCCAATGTATTTCTTACATGTTCAATGATTCATTATAGTCCCATACATACAACGAATCAAGTATGTAATCTAAGAGACTAAGGAAATTATTTGACTACAATTGGACATGAAGTCCTTATAAGTCAATCTTTATTGGTTATTCCTATTATTTGATCATTTGCATAATATAAATAGTCATTATAAGCCAATATTTATTGACTATGGCCATAACTTGTTATAAAGTTAATTCTTGTCAAACACTGATGATTGATATTCTTAAGCTCTTGCTTTCTTAGTTTACTTTGGACTAACATTTCTTTTTCTTTGTTTCTAACTTTCTTAATGAAATGTTTAGCATTAAGATTATATGAGCTAAAATGAAATCCAATGTCTTCCCCGCACCGAAAAGAGGCGGTTCACCGGTTAATGTGAACCTAGATTATGTGAGTTAACAAGAAATCTGGTGTCTGCCCCACACTAAAAGGGGTGGTTCACCGGCTAAAGTGAAATGAAGTCCAGTATCTTACCCACACCGAAAAGAGGTGGTTCACAGCTAAAGTGAAACCAAATACTTTCTTTAACATTTAACCGACATAGATCATGTGATATTAATATGAAATCTAGTGTCTGCCCCACACTGGATAGGGGTGGTTCACTGAACAAAGTTAAATCGAATACTTCCTAGCTCTCTTAGGTGGAATCCACTGGATATTTCCTATAGGGGCGATATAGTTCGAAGACTAGAAGATTTTGGAGACTCTTATCCACCTTGTTGGTAGCCTCAACTCATGAGGCTTACATGTTCTTGCACAAGCTCATTGCTAGTCTATCGGTGCTTTGCTCCATTTCTTATACTTTATAACTACTAGAGTTGACTCATGCATTATGGAAGCTTGCTTTTAATATGAGGTATCATTAAATCAATGGATGACTTTTCATCCCTTTCTTTACTTGATGAATGTGAACTTTAACCTTCCATTATCATCATGGTGTTACTGAGACTTGTCTCACGTCCTTTAATAACTCATTCTGGTCAATTTGATGACTCATAAGATTTTAGTTATGTCATTACTCACCTTATCTTGCTCAATGTCATTTCGTAGCCTTATACCATTTTTATGAAAGTTATAAACTTATTCAATATATTACTATATTCATGGTTCATGTGGATGGGGTATGTTGGACTTGTCCCAATGATTGTCATACCCTTGGTTATGAATTCATTGAGTTACATTGGTCATGCTTAATTTGGTATAACTTTGTCATTAGCAAATTTTATATCATATTTTGGAAATAACATTTGTAAGCCAATTTACTAGCATAAACCAAAATTTCACTAAACACTAATCATGAGTATATAATTATCCAATTCAATTAACTTGATGGATATACTATACTAGTCTCATCACTTTAAGCAACCTAATTTTTAATAGTAAACTAAACTTCATAGACGACTCATAACAATTTTTATCTTCTCGAACACAATTAGACATTACAACACTCTTTATCTCATGTAAATAATACTCTAATCATACGGATTGAGCCTATAGGTCTTATTCAACATTATCAAACCAAGAAACCTCAACATAATGATCAATTAGCACCACATACAAACAACATGCTTGATATTTACATTATACATACTATTAAAATCGGAAATAGGGAGAACTAGGGAGATGAACACTCATTTCATTGGGAACAACCCTAGTTTTGTTTTCTTGAATTCAAAACATTTAAGAAGCCTCTTGGAGAAATGAATACAAGAGATAAAACCCATACCTTACTGTAGAATTGAATCTACGTAAATTTTCTTGTACTTTGCAAGAAAAAATATTGAAGAATAGACTTGAAATTGCCTAAGAGAACTCGAGAGTATTTTATGTTTTTCTTGCGTTTTGCTCATTATATTTAGTCGTGCATTTCTTCTAGAATAACGTGAGTCTAGGTCTTAGAAACTGAATATTTACTAATTTAAACTAGGCTAATTAACTTAATTAGATAAATCAATTAGCTAATTACAAAAATTTCCATCCTAAATTGACTTAAAAATACGAGAACATTTGACTTAGCGAAATTTCGAAAATTTGCTTAAGGATTTAGGTTTTGCCATTTAAATTAATTTATTAAGTTGCTAATTTAATTAATTAAGTGACCTAAGGTAATTAAAAAAGTACCCTTAAGTCGTTAGGACCATAACCAACCTTTTTGGACCATCCTAGGTTAGGTACTAGGATGTTTCTTGAATTAGGTACTAGGCTAGTGTCACTCGGTTAGGTCTTAGGATTCTTGGCACACTAGTTAGTTAATTTTTCTAATTCCTAGGTTAGTTATCTAGTTAGGTAAGTTAGTTAGAGTCTAGAAGTTAGAGTCTAGAATTGGTTAGGAAAATCAGCCCAACATGGCTTGACCCCACACGTGTGCCCCTAACCGCCCTAACCAAATTCGAATGGGCTTATCCTTGGCTGGTTAGTATTGAATGAACCTATAAACTTGTAGTCGCGTAAAGTTGATACTATCATGAAAACCAAGAATTGATGATATGCTAAGAATGTCCGTTATTGTGTTAGGTGATTTATGTGTCTTAGCCGAATGTTGACTTGCTGTTGTTGTTACGTTATGAAGATGCTAAAGTCATCAAATATTAATGTGATGTTGTACAATATGTCCTTAAATCGTTACCCAAAAGTCATGAACTAAGATTGGCTAAAAGAATGATATTATGCTAAGATGTGTCCGAAAATGTTATGTATGAAGATGATTACTGTTTGTTGTGCATACCTACTATAAATGTGACTTGTTGATGATGTGTTTGTTAAATGATAATATTATGAAGTTCAAGATGTTTAAAAACGTTATGCGTAAAGTTATGTTATAACGTTGTCTTAAAAGATCTCCATGAGATCACATTTGAATGAATTGCCTATCTTATGCAAATAATTTGGGCAATAAATAGGTTGTTTAATATAATTGGCTAAAACATTGATTTCAAAGAATTATGGGAAGAATGAATTACTAAAATGATGAGATTAGCTATGGTACCTACATGATATTAATTGAATAGGCCAATGATATTCTCATGACCAATGTATAGTGGAATTATGATTTGTGCCAACAAATTGTCTAGTAAAACATATGTCTAGTCATATTACTTCCAAAACATGAAAATTCATACCAATCTCTACATTAATGAACTCATAACATACAATATGCCAATCAATGGGATAAGTCCCAACATACCCTA